TCAAGTTTCTGATGACACTGAAATTCCTTGGGTGTGACTTCCACCTTCAAGGCCCGCATCTTAAAAGCCCTCTCTACTCTGTCTACATGACCTTCCCAGTGTGTCTGTGTCAAATCTCAATCTCAGTCTCTCTTTCTCTCTCTCTCTCTCTCTCTCTCTCTCTCTCCCTCCCTCCCTCTCTGTATGTGTGTGTGTGTCTTTTTGAAAGACTCTTGTGATTGCGTTTCAGGGCCCATCCAGATAATCCAGTATAATCCCTTCCTCTCAAAATCCTTAACTTTATCACATCTATAAAGTCTTTGTCATATATGGCAATATTTTCAGATTCTGAGGATTAATATGCAGATGTATTTTTCAGGGAGATTATTATTCAGCTTACTGCAGCATCCCAATAGAAAAAAATAGTGAAAGAAAAAAATGAAAGAAAAGTCAAAGACCAGCAGACCAGGAATTTTGGAAGGATGGGATCACACAGATCAATTGTGGAAGGTATGGCTTCTTCTACCTACTGTTTTGTTCATCTTAGTTTGGGCCTTGAATTTCAGACTAAAGAATTTGAAGCATAGGACAGGGAAATTCTGGAAGTGTACCTCTAGAAAGAACTGTCAAAATCAGGTTGCACAACCACTATAGTTTTCACATGAGAAAGACAAGGACCCCGGTCCCTATTTGATCAGGGGAGGGATGATGTGATCATAGCAGGACCTTAGGAAGGATACGTTCTCCATCCTCTGAAGATGTGTCACTGTGATTCCTAGCTACAGTACAAACTCCTCAACAGGAATGAGACTAGTGTTCCAGAGATGACTCTATCCTGCGTAGCAGCAGGGGCCAACCCAATTGCCCTGCATATATTTTTGGATGCCCTTGGGCATGTGCACATGTTCTATCTTGGTTGTCATTTTTATCTTTTTCTAGTCTGTTCCATCATCTCTTGCCATCTCCTCACTGCTGCTCCAGGCAGTTGAGGCACATTGCTCTGTTCTATGAGGCAAGCAGCACAGCCCTTTCCTTGAGTCCCCCAAAACTTAGCAAGTATCAGGCTGTAGTGCTGAACAAGACCTTACTGATGGGTGACTTAAGGATGACATAAGAAATCTACTTTGCTTAAAAAAAATACTTAAAACAGGTCATCAGCCATCTAGGTCTGAGACTATCAACCAAGACCCATCAGGATCACTTACTGACCAGTTCTTCCAAACAGACTAATGACCAATTTTCTTAAAGGTATACTATTTTTCTGAGACAGGGTCCTCCTATGTAGTTCAGGCTGCTCCGAACTCACTATGTATCCTAGACTGTCCTTAAACTTGTAGAGATCCTCCTGCTTCAGCCTCTTGGATTCTGGGATTGCAGGCATGTACGAGCATGCCTGGCATGGGCATATTATTAAAACATGGGTGTATTATTAAAACAAAACACTCCAGAATATCAGCCTGTGGTCAATTCTTCCTATCCTTTTACATCCCTATATCTTGAAATCATAGTTGATATATGACGTTTACTCTGTGACCAACTGCAATTTAACTTCTATCCCTACCTTGCCATGATTCTCCCTTTGGGTAAGGCAAAACTACCTTTATTGCTACATCTGTGCTTCCATTCTCCCCTGACTCCTGGAGCCCAAGACGTGAGCCATGCCGCTCTGTGCTGTTTCCTGCTCTGCACCCTCCCTGTCAGAGTGCAACCACAGAAGAAACACCAGGTAAGACCATCACTGCGTCTCTGCAGAGTTCACCATACAGAGGCAATGAAGTACCTCGCATAATAAAAGTGAAGCGTTTTTTAAACTACAACTTGTGATCAATTTTGGAGCCATGAAATTAATTTAGCAGGTTGCAGGAATCACTTTTGTTAAGCTAAGTAGATTGACTAGAGACCACCAAGAACATGCATGTACTAAAGCTAAGTACTATGTGCCTGTGTGTGCGTCTTCACTGAGGCATGGAGGCAAAAAATTTCTTGTAGTAATGTGGTGAGAAAGGTTAAAATAAAACACTGACTTGGGCTTTCGTGTAATGAACTCATTTATCCTAGAATAGTGTCTCAATTTTAATTTGGAAAGAATACTTCAATGCCCTTTCTGATTATGAGCAATGAAAGATAATCTTTAAAACAAGAATTCTGCTGTCGCTCCTTAATCAAAGGGTGAATATTCAGATAACTTTAAAAATGTTATTTTACTCAACAAAAATAAGAAAGATTTTCATACAATCTGGTGCTGGCTTACCTCTCCAGCCTCATTCCCCCCTACTTTCTAGTTTGTAGCATGCATTATGGCGGTGCTAGATTCTTTGTTGTCTTTAACTAGAGTATTCTCTTTTGGCTGCAGGACCTTACAGATGTCATTCTATTACCTGGAACATTCACACAAACTCCTTCCCTCTCCTGCCCAAAGCATTATTTTGTCTACTCTGTCAACCTTCTTGTCTCAGCTGAGACAAACCTTATCAAACTCCAAGTCTAGTTGACACTGGAATCCCCAAGAGGAACCTTTGTGCCCTGGGGTCTGCATTACTCACTTCCCTGTTACCGGGGCAAACTATCTGACCGCCACAGTTTAAAGGAGAAGTTTATTTGGGCCATGGTTTCAGATAATTCAGCTCATGGTTGGCTGGCTCCAAAGCAGAAATACCATGGCAGAAAGGTGCAGCAGAGCAAAGCCGCTCAGTTCATGGTGGCTCAGAATCATAACAAGGGAACACTGCCAGAGAGGAAGGGGCCAGGGGCAGATATAGTATCCAAGGGTCATGCCTCTGTGACCCACTCAAACATACCCAGAAGTGTGCTTTACTTATCAAATAGACAAGCTTAACTATTACAAGGGTCTTGATAAGGAATGAATGAAACAGAATATACATGTTTCTGACCTAATTATTGTATTATCTCCCCCTAGATATTTTTTAGACACTTTCCACCTAATTTCTCCTCCATTGCCCCCATAAAAATTTAATAATATACTATAGTCTGTCTATGTACTATGACCCTTTAGAGGACCACAAACCATTCTACAGTATTGGAACTCATATGTTTGCTGCCGTAAGAATCAGTTTTTGCCCCCTTGAAGGCATTAGCATGTCCACTGAGAATGTAGGAAGTAGAATAAGAGATAACTCTACTTGAACTCTTAAAGGGGTTAAGGAAAAACTAGCTGTGTGTCTTTCCTGATGAAAGACTTATGTCAAAAGCTGGAGAGGCCAAAGAAGATAAAGATGACTGTAGACATAAGCTGCCTTTGACCTAATCAAGGGCGGAAGTTCAATTGCAGTGGCTTGGAGCATGAGCATTGAATGCAGGCTGAAATGCAAGGAGTTAGGCTGTGAAGAGGTCACAGGACTAAGAGATTTTGTTTTTAAAAAATGGGAGATACTGACTTTAGGTAATAAGTTTAACGAGAGACTACAGAACAGCAAGAATGGGAATAACTGTTTAGGCCAAAGCACAGAAGAGAAATGGGAGAATCATGAGTGGAAACAAAGTTGTATAGGGAAACTTCCCTCTTCCAGGTGTCTGGGGGTGACTCAGAAGCCCTCAGGTGAGTCCCCTCACCAGGGTAAGTGAGACCGTGACACAAGACAAGGCTTGAGGAGAGAGACGAGTTTGGAATCTCAACTTCAGAGAGAGGAAAAGCTGACCAAAGTACCTGAAAGATGTACAAATAACATGGAGGATCAGCTGAAATAAAATTGCACAAACATTTTAGCAGTTTGATCTTTTTTCCTTCAACCACTGACTTTGCATATCTACTGTTTTCCAGGGCCTACTACCATGAACCACAGTTTTCTTTATTTTCTGTTTTTATTTTTTGGTTTTTGAGACAGGGTCTCCTTATGTAGTTCAGGCTGGCCTTGAACTATGTAGCCTAAGCTGGCCTCAAACTCGCAGCAATCCTTTTTCCTCAGCCTTCTGAATGCTGGATTACAGGCACCATCACGCCCAGCTGAGCCACAGCTTCTGACCTCAAAGTGCTGCTATCTTTTTTCCCCAATATAAAAGAATGCTTTGTATTTGTATTAACTTGCATTATAAAATGAGCACACATACCTCAACTGTTCTAATTCATATAAATCCATATGTAAGGTACTTTCAGATGCTGATATCAGTGATGGTTATACTGAATATACATGTATAATATATTTACATAATTATACATTATTTTCTATATATTATGGTATTTTAGAAGTCTTTCTAACTGGGGAAAGACTAGGCAATTCTTAGAGACAGCAAAGGGTACAGACAGGAACATGCCCTTCACAAGCAAACTACTCATCCAGAGCCAGACATTCTCTTCCTGGGCAGTGCCCCAATCAGTAGCAGAGCTTGACTAGATTGTTCTCTGTGGACTTTAATGGGAAGTAGTTCAAAGCTTTGACACTTTTTTCTCTCCTGCAGCTTTACTTTTCTCATAAGATTCACCATGTTACATCTCTCTACTCTCATGTGAAATTGAAACTTATCTAGCTTAGTTATCTGATCTCATTTAATGAGTCAAAAATTAAAACAAAAAACCTGGATGATGTGGCTCATCAGTCCCATAAGCACAAAAGAAAAAAAGATAAAATAAAAGAAAATGTGTAGGACTGAGAGCTGAGAGCTTCCTGAATGAATTTGAATGTGGTGTATATGTGTGTGTGTGTGTGTGTGTGTGTGTGTCTTAATTCCTCATCAATTTTAATTAAAGTCTTCTCCCCCTAGCTTTGTGTTTGTATTAACTTACATTATAAAATGAGCACACATATCTCAACTGTTCTAATTCATATTCCATTAGATCACTGTAGTTCACAAAGAGAAACCACTGGTCTACATATTTTTCAAATGCCATTTTTGATTCCCATTCTTCTCTTTCCCTTGAAGTAAGGAAGGCAGACACATTTGCCAGGGTTAACTGAGAATGTCAGAGTGATTCCTGCTTGGGCAGCTTGTGCAGGCTGTGTGCTAAATGCAACTCCGAAACAAGCCCTATAAATAGCTACTCATTGTCAGGGTGTAAAAAGACAAGAGTGAGTGTGCGTGGTCTGATTCAGGCCTAATTAAGTGGTTGCGTCTGGGCAGGGCTATAAATGAATAGCTGCTCTGACGGGGGATCTGGTCACAGCCAGCCACAAGGGTTCAGCACTCACTGAAGGGAAGCTGTTCATTGCTGCTTGGGGCTCCACTATGGCGAAAATTATCTTGAGGCACCTCATAGAGACTCCAGTGCGTTACCAGGAGGAGTTTGAAGCTCGAGGTTTGGAAGACTGCAGGCTGGATCACGCTTTATATGCCCTGCCTGGGCCAACCATCGTGGACCTGAGAAAAGCCAGAGCAGCGTCGCGGTTTCCTCCAGCAGACTCAGCGACAGCAGACATGCCACCCGAAGAAGGCAAATCCCGCTTTCAGATCCTGCTGGATGTGGTCCAGTTCCTCCCCGAAGATATCATCATTCAGACCTTTGAGGGCTGGCTGCTGATCAAAGCTCAGCACGGAACCAGAATGGATGAGCACGGTTTTATCTCACGAAGTTTCACCCGGCAGTACAAACTGCCAGCTGGTGTAGAAACCAAAGATTTGTCTGCCATCCTCTGTCATGATGGAATTTTGGTGGTGGAAGTAAAGGATCCATTGGGGACTAAGTGAAAAGTTAGCGGTTCCTGTTCAAATGAGGAAGATGATAGCTCTGCCAGTGGTACCATGGGACTATGTGTATTACCTGTGTTTGAAATGACTTCCTATGACTTTTATGAAGATTAAAAATATATATACAATTCCTGGTATGTTGAGGTTGTCTTTATTATTCTTATACAGTGAAGAAAATTGCTAAATATATTCATACAGTAGGAGACTGTAGTTTGGTATTCGACAGTAGTATTTCTTCAGGACTACCAACAGTGCCAGAGGCAGAACCAAACTCAACTAAGGGATTTTTATCCATTTTATGAAAAATTTCCTATATTGCTCAAAACCAGTTATGACTGATAAGCTTCTCTTGATAAGTTTTTCTTCTGACTGAATTTTAATTAAAATGGAGCTTTAAAAATATGGAGTCTGGAGCTTAAAATATAGTCCTTGGAAACAGGATCTGAAATCTATAATTCACTATATTATTTCCAGATATCAATCTTAATTTCTTAAAAAGTTGAAATATATACCTTATTCATTTTTTCTAAGCTACCCTGAATCTTCTCTGGAGTTTTATTTTTAAATTGTGTATAGTTTGTGGGTACTTATAAAATATCAATATATATTTTGACTCATATATTGACTCAAATTAAATTAAGTTTAGGCAACTAAAAAAATTCAATTACTGAATTTACTGTTAATCCATGCTGTTTAGAATCAACTTACATTTTTAAATTTCAGAAGATGGCAAAGTGTAACTCATCTGCTTTGTGTAATCCTGGGCTTTAAATAGCCTAGTGGCCAGTGGAGATGAGGACACTTGAGCTCACGCAGTGTGTTTAAATTTGCCCAGCGCCTCTGACCATGGTTGCTTACATCCTCCGGAACTGCTGCTTTGGCTCACAATTGAGATGCTGGTAAAGGTTAAGAATTTGCTTAGGAATATTGCCTTCAACAGCTGCTCTGTGCCATTCCAAAGGTTTGCTATCTCATTCTATACATACCGAATATCTCTTCAGAGGAAGTAGCTGCTTTCCTTTTCCCCCAGCGCAGAGTGTGCGCTGACAGTGAGCCTCAGGAGAGTGCTAAGAATAGAAGAGAATGCAGTGGGTGAAGACGCCAGGGCAAACTCAGATGGAGACACACTCCCTCTGCTCCTCCCCGTTGTTTCCATAGTTCACGTTAAAAACGGGAAAGAAGTGAAACAAAGCAAAATAAATCAGAAGTAATTTTAGAAACAGAAAAATCTGAGAGGGCTGTTTGTGTACTATTTAATGAAGTTGAAAGGACTTTGTAGTTATATATTTATATGAGATCTGTGCATCCAACTCTAAGAAATTTTGTTTGACAAAGTATCACAGATCAGCTTTGCTGCATAAAAAAGTTAACAGCAATCAATAGGATTCTAGATCTTCTAATATAATTATCTGAGATACCTACTGTCCCTCTTTAAATTATTATTTCCCATTGGAACAGTGTGAAACCAACTACTGCTTTGAGAAATGAACAAGCCTCCTACCCCAAGCCCCTACTCCTTTGGTCTTAATCTTCTTCTCCATGATATTCTGCCTCTGGGAAATTCTAGGAAGTGATATGCCTACCATGAGGAAGCACCAATAGGAAATATTTCCTTTAAAAATTAACATAAGCATCTCCAATTAGCACTTTTTCCTAAGATAAAATTTAAAAGCATACATAACACTTTTATTTAGAAAATGTATCAAATACCAAAAAATAAAAATCATTATTCTGCTGTCATGAGATAGCTACTTCTAATATCTCGTTCATTGTTTTTTTTTTTAATGACTTTTTACAAAGTTAGGATTATATTTGCATGACATTTATTATCCTGTCTATACTGGTCACATCTGCTTCCCTTTCTGCTCCCACCAATCCAGACCCATTCTCTGTCCTTCCCATTCCCCCTTGGCCTAAGCAGTTTGACCCCTACAGCCCATATTATTCTAGTTTCCAACTGGGTTCAGCCCTTGAGAGGCACAGACCGGATACCAGACACTGGAGAGAGATTAGTGAGCAGGAGGGAAGAGAGCGCCAGGTATTTCTTTCCTGGCCGTGCTGCACACGAGGCCCTGGCAAGGCCCAGGTTTTGGATTTCCCCAGGGATCCCATTTTTTCTGATGGGGAGCATTCTGCTCTTTCTTGTCGCTGGTGCCTTACAATCCTTTATTCTCTCTCCTCTGCCCACTCTCTTGTAAACGGTGTCTTTGTTAAAGGATTATGTCTCCTGCTGGAACGCCCCCCCCCCCATGGCTTGACATTTTAAGTGATAAAAGAAAGAAACAAAACAAATGCATTAGTTTTCTTTACTACCAAACACTGATTTTTAATGGCTGTTTACTATTCCAAAATAGGTAAACTATATTATCATCTAACCACTCTTCCACTCTAGATCTCAACAAGAAACAGATGGCGTTCTCAAATTGGAATAGTCCCACAGGATTTATTTATAAAGAAATAAATTATAAGAGAAAGAGCAGAGTGTACAGGAGCTGCAAAGGAAATTGTCATAAATAGAGACCTGTAGTGTGCCAGTGTTGTGTCTCACAGGTCACAGGGATGAGAGGAGGAAGTAGTTTTCAAAAATCAAGGATAAGCCAGCAGGGACACCCTCAGCGAACTTTATTGGAAGGATACCGCCAGCCTAAAATAACTTCTCACAAGGAGAGAGGCAAAAGAATGAATACTTTCTCTTTCTAAGCTCCTGAAAGGGCTCCCACTGGGCGGTCTTAACTGGTGGCCACAGGGTATGGAGCCCTTCTGATACAGTTCAACAGCCTCGCAGGTTACGGGAGCAATGGAGAAAAGTGGAGGGTGACTTCTGCGGGTCAAAGGCACAATATGCAAAACTCTAATAAAATCTGTTCTGCTGTCATAGTTCTGTCTTAGAAAGCCTCTTCTCCAAACTAGAGCATGAGACGGAATTGGACAGCCCACTGTTTATTCGGGAATTACAAACTCGGGATAGTAAAAATGTGGAAACGGGAAAGAAGCAACATGGTGTGATACTGGCTACCACATCAGAATGGACTAAGGACTCAGCAAGTCTTTGGCAGGATGTTGGCTCAGCACATGGAACTCCTCCAGGGAGACGTCTCTGCAGAGAGAGAACAGATCTTAGAGCAGCCACACAGGAGTCTGGAGAGGGACTCTGTTTATCTGGTCCCCTACTGTATTCCATTTCTCATTAGTCAAGTTTCCACTTACAGGAAGTAGACAGTCCTGCACTTCTGAGTTGTATCAGCCAACTCCTTAGCGGCTGCTCAGGAAACCAGATCCTCCAGGTGTGACATTTCATCCATGCTGGAAGTAGAAGGGTGACTCAGCCTGGTGAGAGTTCCGGGAGGGGATCACAGGTCCAGAGATTCAATTTGGACTTCTGCCACCTGAGGAAGCTGGGCAAAGGTGCTGGCAAAGGCGGCCACAGCATGGGTGGGAAGGCAGGAGATGCTTTCAGAAACAAAGTGGTGGGCAGGAAAGCACACAGGGTGACACCAAGTGAACTAGACAGTCTTATAGCATGTATTGTATTTGTATCATATAATACCTTCTAATTTTATGGGCCTTAATATCACCTTATATTTTCATCTAATTTTTAACTCAGGTTCAAAGTTAGTCTTCTTAAACTTATCCAGGATATTTCATGTCTTGTAAATTATGAACCAATGCCCCAAATCTGTCTGTATGTATAATTTATATGTTTAAGTTGGAGTCAATGAAGATTTTGATGACTTTGTTCCAATTAATTTCCCTGAGTCCAAACTGCACTAAGGTCTTGAACCTGTCTTTGACCTGTTTCTCAACCTGCTTATCCTTTAAGGTAGAAGTATAGCACTGGAAATCTTGAATTGGGGCTGGGGATTTAGCTCAGTGGCACAGCACTTGCCTGGCAAGTGCGATGTCATGAGTTTGATCCCCGGTACCGGAAAAAAAAATCAAAAAAGAAAAAAAAAAATTAACAGGAAATCTTGAACAGAAAATAAAACCAACAGAAAAAGCACACTTAAAAAAAAAAAAAAAAGGAACAGCATACTTTTCAGCTAGAGCTTTCCTACTATCAATGCATATTTGTGCCACACAGTAAGAATCATGTCTAAAGTGCCATGGTCATACATAAAGTAACTGCTGACAGACATCCAGCTAAATTTCTAGAAAAGATTTCCATTAGACATTAGAACACTGGCCGTATGTGGTAAGTGCACTTAGCAGGCACATGGATGCTTCTCAGTGTCACCTTGAAGGTCTTTTTCTGGCAGGATTTCTCCTGTTTGCCAAGTATACATAATTACATCTGGGAGATGTCTTTTAGCATTTTCTGTCTATGGGAAAACAGTGCAGGGTAATGAGAAGAGTAGGAACTTCAACTGGAGTTCCACAGCTCTTGCAATGAAACACTGCTTTAACAGTCCTATCCAATGTCACACATATATAACTAAAAAGAACAAAAATGTATCATCTTACTTCATAATAGGATGTTACTCAGCAAACAGATACAAAACACAACTTGGCTAGGACCCTTTGTGGGGAGGGGGTTACGATTCTGGAAATGAGGAAGGAAAATGGCCTAGATCAGGGATTTGGACAATGTTTTCTTTCTTAATGTCTGATTCTCCTCAGCTTTGCAACAGCACAGCCTCTTGTCCCTGAAATGGAGGGATACAGTAGTCGCCATTTAAAATGCTGAATGGTGAGGAAGAGGAATTTGGTGGCATCAGTGCATTTATTTGTCATTTATTTAGTTATTTATTTATTTTCACAGTGCTGGGGGATTGAACCCAGGGGCCTTCCTACTGTCACTATATCCTCAGCCAATTTTATTTATTTTTGTTTTTGAGGTAGGGTCTTACTAAGTTGATAAGTTTTCCAGGCTTGACTCCATGTTGTGATCCTTTTGCCTCAGCCTCCCAGGATGCTGGGTTTATGGGTCTGTCCCACCACACCGGGCTTATACCATCATATATGGAAATCCTGTGCATAAAAATATGTAATAGAATCCCATATGGTTAGTCTATGAAGTAGTCAGCATCAACAAATGAGCAACAAAAGCAGTGGATCAGGCTTTGTGTTTGTCCCTATTAATGTGATTATCTGAAAACTGCTGTCAATATCACTTAGTGTATCAAAAACTTA